AGGTGAAAAATCTCCCCCAGAAAAGTATGAAAATGATCAAAAACTTTTTTAGAAGTAGTTATACCCTTTGTGAACAAAGTTACAAAATTTCAGTCCAATGCGGTAACATTAACTAGTATTTTCAGGAAAAAGAAAATTTTCTCAGAGCAAAAAGGACCCGAACACCACCTGAGGGTTTTTAATGCAAATGTAATTGGCCACATTTACAAAATCAGATGATTATGTCTCTTTATACATAGAGACAAAAGAACAAGGTTAATCACTGTCTGTCAGTGTATGGTATTAGTATCAGGAATTGATTAGAATATACAACTAATTTTACAATACAAGCCTCTGTTACTATGTTGCTCTATATTGTATTAAAATTTAAAGCTTACCATGCATCATCTTGGAAATATAGCTTCTTGTCTTTAAGTCTGTACCGTATATTGTTATTTCTCTGAATGATGTTACGATGTGTATTTATTTATGATCTGATTGTGCAACATCCATTTCAGACGTGCAAATTTTATGGCATTTTACTAGCATTACAGTTTCCATAGAAGTGAAATGTTATGCATTTATGTTGAATTAATTATTAATGTAAGGCAAAGGCAAAGTTTATTTATATAGCACATTTCATACACAATGGTAATTCAACATGCTTTACATATATAAGGAATTAAAATTATCATGAAAAATTATCACAATGATAAAAACAAGGAATTTCTAAATTATAAAATGATTCAAAAATTTATTTAAAATTAATGAAAACTGTTAAGAATAAAAATGAACATACATAAAATACAGTGCAATCTGATGTTTGATACTGTAATGAATATGATACTTAATTTATTTGTTAATAGGCAGGGGAAATTCCCAACATTAAACAAATCTTAAAACCTTTTACATGAAGCATGTTTGTGTTGTAAGAATGTATAGGGATACTTCAGATATAAAAAAGCTGACTCCTCAGGTGGTTTTCTCATAAAAATTGATAAAAATCGATTTACTGTTAATTCAACAGAATATATGGGAGCACTAGTCATGTCACTTGTAATGACTTGATTTATCCAGATGATATTTTTATTGCTTGATGCATTATTGCAGCATCAGACCTGAAAGTTCTGGATCTGAAGATGATCTACTTGCTGTGATAGTTTTTTGTATGACTGCGTAGAGAAGTTAATTGACTGAAACGCTTCCCACATGCAGTGCAGTGATACGGTTTCTCTCCAGTGTGGATCCTCTCGTGTGATTTCAACTGTATTGACTGACTGAATCTCTTGCCACAGTGTGAACACTTGTAAGGTTTCTCTCCAGTGTGGATCCTCTCGTGTGTTTTCAGATGATCCTCTCATGTGTTTTCAGATGTGTTGAATGATTGAATCTCTTGTCACAGTGGGAACACTTGTAAGGTTTTTCTCCAGTGTGAATCCTCTGGTGCCGTTTTAAACAGTTTGCTGTAGTAAAAGTCTTTTCACACTCAAAGCACATGTAATCTCTAACAGCAGTATGTATTTTCTGATGTACTTTTGAATTTTGTAGACATGAAAAACTCTTTCCACACAAATGACATGAATGTGGCTTCTCCTTTGTATGAACTCTCAGGTGATTCTTCAGGACTGAAGCCCACAGAAACATTTTGTCGCATTGATCGCATGTGTGCCACTTCTCTCTTGTGTGGATACTCATGTGTTCTTTAAGATGTGATGATAGTATGAAACTCTTCCCACACTGATCACAAGCATACGGCTTTTCTCCAGTGTGGATCCTCATGTGCCCTTTAAGACTTGTTTTTTTTTGTGAAACTCTTCCCGCACTGATCACATGTGAACGGTTTTTCTCTAGAATGAACTCTCATGTGCATCTCTAGATTGTGTTTGTTTGAAGCTCTCAAAAATGTTTTGCTGCATTGATCACATGTGTGCCGCTTCTCTCCAGTGTGAATGATCATATGTTCATTAAGGGCTGATGATTTTGTGAAACTCTTTCCGCACTGATCACAAGTGAATGGTTTCTCTCCAGTATGAACTCTTATATGCTCTGTAAGGCTTCCTTTTATTGTGAAACTCTTCCCACACTGATCACATGTGTACGGTTTCTCTCCAGTGTGGATCCTCTCGTGTGTTTTCAGATTTGCTGACTGACTGAATCTCTTGTCACAGTGTGGACACTTGTATGGTTTTTCTCCAGTGTGGATGTTGATGTGTATCTTAAGGCTTGATGATTGAGTGAAACTCTTCCCGCACTGATCACAAGTGAACGGTTTTTCTCCAGTGTGAATTCTCATGTGAACATCAAGACTTCTTTTGTGTGTGAATCTCTTTCCACACTGAGTGCAGGTGAAAGATTTATTGACTCTTATTTTCTTTGAATCTTTCTGTTCGGTTTGAGAGCAGGTCAAGGGTTTTTCTCCAGTTTTGACATGATCTTTCTCCTCAACTTCACTTGATTCTTCATTCTCCTCATTTTCTTTAATTGACTCTGAAATTAAATTAAAAATGGTTATTTTTTTAATAACTCAAAAAAACAAAACAAAAAAAACAACAACAGTGAAAGGACATAAAAATTAACCATGATATAATAGCGGATATAAGGCTGGACGATATGACCTAAAATCAAAACCTTGATTAATTGAGCACTTTAACTCGATTATAATTATGAATGATTTTATTTTTAACATTTTTTTATATTCTGAAATGTAAAATAAATTTCATTTAAAGGTGGGGTAAGCGATTTCTGGTAGCCAATGTTGACATTTGAAATCACCAAATCAAACACGCCCCTATTTTGATAGCTCCACCCCACACATACATACGCAACCCAGGCAACCATTAGTTCTGTGAAACAAAGCAAGAGTGTTTACTATATAACCATTATTTCGCTAATAAACATCTAAATAAATATATGATAAAAAAAATAAATACAACTCTATGGAAATTAATTATTTATTATCGAGCGATCGCAGTTTGAGTATAGTTCTGTGTAACTGCATAGATAAACCGCGCTGTCAGCAAGCATTTCATAATCTAGAAGGACAAAAATATTATTAATAATTCTGATATAACATTCCAGTTGAGAAATGCAATAAAATACGATGTTTTGTTTGTTATATTTCAATATTCCAGAGAATATTATTCAGTGAATTAACATTATCCAATGAATTATTCTTGACTCTGTAGCTATTAAACAGCTTATAAACCTACTAAAGCGGTAGTTTAAAATGAAGTTGATATGACTCCTGTCCTTTTTCTCCATTTGAAAACATTAGACATTCTACATTTATTTTGCTTATTGTTAATATTAGTGTTTAGTGTGTTGATGCTCTTTTTATAAATAAAATGTTTTTTATTGTTGTAATATAAAGATTAAATTTAACATGAAAGACCGCTAATTTTCAACACTTAAAAAAAAAAAAGATGACTGAAAAGAGGAAAAACCAAAGTGAAGTATGTTCTTACTTCACTCAGTCATTTATTTACTTTATAACAGTAAATAAATATCGGTTCTGCATATC